GGCGATTAAGAAGCGATACATTTCAATGCGAGAAAAATTTTTTTTTTTTGGAAAATAATTGATTCTTCTCGATCAGTCCTTTTTAGATAAGGATAGTTTTTATTTATTCTTTCTTAACGATAGAGTTATACATTTACTGGTTGATTTTGTTGCACGATCGAATGATAAACTACGAGTTATTTAAATAAACCATCGAAAAGTTTAGACTTGATTTGAATGTTTTAAAGGCGTTATAATTTTTAGGATATAATTCTTGTATAAAAATTGTCTTCTCTTTCTGAAAACAGGTACTTTTTAAAGTAATTGTCTAAAAATCAATTTGTTTTTTTTTTTAAATTTCTAATCTTCTTCTGATAAAGGATAACGTATCAATCTTTCAGAAACTAAATCGTATTTTCTTAGCGAAGTAACATAACTCAAGATAGAGTTACTCATCGTCCGTTTATAGAATTCAATTTATCCTGTTCGATTCGGTGACTAGTCGGCGCATGATCGTTTCTCGATACAAGTAGCATTCCTCGATACAAATTGCCTAGGGGACGCCAGCCTCAAGTATAAAAATACAATTATGCATGCAATCTGCGAAGACGGTTGTTTTGCTGATTTACGCCGTCGAGGTCCAAGTTCAGACGCCACGATCGACCTGGCTGCGCCGTTGGGACTGGCTGGTGTCGACGACATCCTTATCGTTGTGCCGATCGGAAAACATCCATGTCGGCTACTCACTCATTTATAGACACGTACCACTTAGGTGAACATGCCATTAGAAACTCGATAATTTAATATTTTTAAATACTTTATAATTTCATAAGGCAAGTTTTATAAATTAATTTTATGAAGGACATGTACAATTTTCAATGTTTCAAATTGATCAATTCAAGCTGAAATTGATTGGCTTTAGATGAAATTTATCTGAGAATTTTAATTACTAGTTTTCATATTCATTATAGAATTGTAATAAAAATCATCCAACTTGATTAGTTTAAGTTAATCAACGTATATACCAAATATGAAAATTCATTTATACTATAACATAAGCGGTAAAGTACGATTTTTCTGTATCTATAATAATTCAATAATCGAGAATTTCGAGTCATTTGCTTTCATAACGATATCTCGAAAAATAAAAGAAGAAAAATATTAAACAGGAAACATTAACCAAGAAGATGAATATTCTCTTTAAATTTAAATCGGGCCATCCATACGCACGATACTCTAAAAAAGCATTCCATTGTTTGGTTCAGCGTGGTCAGGTCTGGGCACCAATTACACAAGCAACCGAGGTTAAGGAACCAGAGACCCGGAGGTCTGAGGTGTCGCGACCGATTATTTCGGCGGTTCAAGGGCCTTAAATGAGAAAAAGAGAAAAGTTAGAGAGCCGGTGGATTCGCGTGTCTGCCAATTATTACCGGTAATCACGGTAATGGCATGTGTCAATCGGGCAGAAGAGCGGCTTCGTCACCCGACTCTCGACGATAGCAGAGGTCAATCCGACTTGTACTAATGGCTTGCAACACCAGGGATGCGTGCATGAGCAAGGTGCATGATCAGTCAACGACAATGAGGTAAGTACGTATGGTAACACCGATTAAGATGATCCTCGCCGGAGACCTACTTCTTTCACGTGTTCCTCGGCTCTCTCTCGCACGTGCATTCTCCGCGACCAACCCCGCACCCATCGCGCCAACGATCCAATTCAGGAAGTTTAGATTGTCGCAGCCAATTTGGTCGCGTGCAGTTCAACCGCGTATAAGCATCAGTCAGGATTAGACGAGGATTAGTTTCGATTCGAGTGACTTGATTTTCTTTTTTTTTTTTTTTCTTTTATTTATTTCGAGCGTCGAGAAAAAAACTGAAGATTTGGGATTGTTTGGAGAAAACGATTTGAGAGGAATAGATAAAAATTTGGAAGGAAGATGCATATATTTATTGGTAATGTGACCAATTGGATATATTGATCGAGCAACTTGATTAATTTGGACGACGAGTTTTTGGACTTTCGTTCGATCGCGCTGTGAGGATTTTTGCGTCAAGGAATTTTGGAATTTTGAAACTTTTGGAAAATTTGGACGTAGCGATTTCGAGCGTTCCATTTATTTCACATTGCATCTCTATGTATGGAATTTTAGAAATTCGATGGGCCATTTATTGTGCGATCGAGTTTTTTTTGCCCTCTTTTTTTCTTTCATTTCGTTGTTTCGCGATATTCCTTTGAAGAATATTTTAGAAACAGTAGAATATTTTGGATATTTTATGAATAGAATTTTTGAAATTTTCAATTCTTTTCTTCTTTGTTATTTAATAATATTCAATTATTTTTAGAAAATAAATAAATTCTTTTGTTTGGAAACTATATTTTGGAAAAAATATTTTATGAACTTTTTGAAAAATTTGTATTATTTTTTTTAAATATTTTCAAATCATACTTGAGGACAAATTGAGTAAAGAAAATGATGCGAATAAATTATAGGCTCTTATTATGGGCGATCGAATGATTTACGATCGAAATACAGATAAGACTGAACCACTTATTCTCAAATCCATTAAATTTGGCAAGATGTCAGACAGAAAATTATTCCAAACTGTTCATTAAGACTAATCATACGTTGAATTAGATGAAATTACAATGTAATAATCACGTGTTAGATTAACATGAAACAGATTCCTTGGAAATTATTTGAAATATTATTTCAAATCGAAATTATTATTTTACTTCATAAATATTTGTCAAAAAATGTTCATACAACGCCATCAGATTTAACATAAAGAAATAAGAAATTATTTTATTGTATCGAAATAATGAATTAACATTTCGATACGAATCAAAATTTATTCTTTTTTTAAAGAATAATATGCAATACAATATATAAAAATAAATATTCTTTATATTCTCTTATAAAATTAATGCTGCTTAATATCAATTAATATCGAATAATTAATTTTCACAAATCTGATACGAATTAGAAGCAAAGGGAGAGTGTTCTAAATGTCGGTCGGAAAACAATTATATGTCAATTACGGACAGAGGCACAATCATGTTTGATCATTTAACCGAACGAAGCATTAGGTGAATTAGATCACTAAGCTGAATTATTTTCGCCAATCATTCCGCTCTCGGTCCGCTCGAGTTCCGTCCCATTCGATTAGTGTAAACCCTACTATTAACCTGTTGAGTCTGCCCTATCGTAAATGCCGCGTGTTAAACGCTCGCTCTGGTTTACCGTGATTGCCCTCCTAAATAAAGAAGTGATATTACAGTGGCATGGGTGAGCTGTTCTCGTTGCACGTTCGATGGAATTGTTATTGTAAAAATGATCTATTTGTTTTTTGGATTTATCTCATTTTCATCCGTCATCATTGTATTTCTTTTTTAATTTTTTTTTTATTTTATAACGTAACGTTGTTAAAATGTAACGTTAGAATTATTCTAGATTTTAGAAAGTATTGGTTAAAATAGATAGCGCGTGTTTCTTTATTGAGTTTGAAGATTTATTAGATATTTTATTTTCATATTAGAAAGTATTGTTAGAACATTTATTTTACATGTTAAAAAAAAAGCATTATTGGTTATTAGTGTTTGTGTTATTTTAGAAAGTATTAGAAAGTGAATTCTTGTTTGGTTAGAAGATATTCTTGAAACTTTTCTTTCTTTAACGCTTACTATTTTTTTTTTTTTTTTGTAACGCGAAATCTCAAAATTATATATTATGTAAACTTATATTTAAAACTTATATACAAATTCGATAAATTCTATCGAAATTGAATTTTATTATTCCGTAATGTAGTAATAGCTATTCTTAGAAAGAGCATATGAATTATGCATTTATATAAAAATTTTCATCGATAAAAAAATGATTTATTTAAAGAACTTTCACGTCGTTTATATCATCAAAATTTTATTTCACAAACTCTAATCTCTAATTTTCTATTAAAAAAAGAAACAAATAATATCATCATAGCTGGATTATTAAAATAAAATTTGTTCAAGCATTATTATATCAATTTTCAACTATGTCAATTAAAAAAAAAAAGAAACAACTCAATGTTATCAATGAACCTTTTCGAAACATCAAAAATCTGTTCTAATCTGAAAAAATCATCTTGCCAAAAACGAGGAACGATACGAATCGATCATTTCTCATTTTATATTTATCTTTCATCGTTTCGAAGAAAAAAACTCCTTTGACGCGGTATAACAAGTAGTTACGCACGATGATTATTCCCACACGTGTCAAGATTGACGTCATTGATCTCACGACATGTGCGACAGTTGAGAACACGCTTGCAGGTCGTTGACGACGATGACGACCGGTCCGTGACTTTTGTGCCGCGGCACGAGCGTCAACATGGCGTTTATCATCGGGAAACGATATAGCGAGCGCAAGATGGCGATTGCGACCGTTTGCACTCGTGCGTTCGAGCCAACGGAGGCAATCATCCGAAGTTTACCCTACATATTCAATTTAGATCGTTAGTTCGCGCTGGATTGCGCGTTTATTGCATGCATTACGATTTTATTACATAGGAGGGAGAGGAGTCTTTCCTATGGTGTATATACTCGACACGGAATGAAACGCTGTGCGGGTGTTTTGCACTTTTGGAAATTAATTTTTAATTTTTCGACATTTTACTTTGGAGACGAGAAACTTTTTATCTTCGTTTAAATATTCGATATTTCTAAAGAGGTATGATAAACGAAAAATCTTTTTTTATTTTTTTCAGATTTTGACATAAATAGATAACGAAGGTTTGTGCAAATTAATATTTTTGAGAACTGGTCAAGAGAAATGTGAAATCGGAATGAAAATTTGTTTGATTTTATATACATATTTGATTATTATTATTTTTTTTAATATTATTCATCGATGAATATTGGATCTTATTTTGGTAAGGAAAGGAAATGTAAAATTTTGAAAAATTTCGATTATTTGAGAAGAGTTAAAATTTTTGGGAGTAACTTAATCTCGTTACGAATTTATTTGAAAAATAATGAGGAACCATTAATGTCGTTAAGGTCTGGCTTATTATTCGGCGAACCTTGTACTTGTTTACAATTCTTCTTTACAATCGTGTTGCGTCCCATTTGCCACTGATATTTTTCACATCCTCTGGATCAAGGCCGGATGAATTGAGACGCAGAAAGAATAACTAGGAAAGAATTTTATATGAAGGAGAAGTAAATATTTCCCATCAAATCGTAAACTTGCTTAGAGAACTTCAATCGTTGATAGTACTTCTTCCAGTGTTATCTAGAATTTATAATAACTAATCAATCCTCGTCACTAAACTTCACTCTCAGAAAATTCAAATATTCCACGATTTATCTAAATTATAAATAGACCTCAAACAAACTAGATCTCATCTATTATATTTACCACTTAAACTATTTACATTAAATTGCAATGAAATATAATAGTCATGATCAAAAAAAAGAATGCAAATAAAGCCATCAAAATGTTATTTCTCAATGAATTCAACAAACAAATACTTACCTATCCCTAAACGTATATACTCTTGCTTTATTAAAACCATATTTTCAAAACTCCAATCCATATACCACACACTAAACAATATTCCAATATATACACTCTGTTGAAACATTATTCCTAAATATCCGTTCAAATTTAAAATTGCGAAAAATTCAAATATGAATAAAATCGATGCGAGTATTCGTGCTATCAGTAGTAGAGCCAAGTGGCTGGTCAGCCCGAAATTACATACGCACCTCGATCTTCACTCCTCATCGATTTTCATGTGTGATAAAACGGTTGTTCGAGGCGCTCGAGCTTTCCTTCTCGTGATTCGTGCATATACAAGCAGATCCTCCACTAGTGCATGCTCGTCCTCGTTCGATCGGATACGGCCTCAGAGGCGGCTTTATCGCCCCCCCGCGAGCCACGTAGCCCCGATTTCAAAGTGCAGTCAACAGCAATGTGCACGTGATTCCAGCCCAGAATCGGACCTAGATTCGGCCACAGCTGCACGCCCGTCTTCCCGCCACTATCCCCCTGTCCAGTTTCCTAGGGAAAAATAGAGCTAGTGGAAAACAGATAGACAGCAAATGATCGACAGCGCATACGATACTGTCTGGAACGCGCTCGAACTTAACCCCGTTCTCGACGCTCCCAGGAAGCAAGTCTAGACATGAGAGATTATTGTGCAAATACTGTTGTGCTCGTCAATTTGTTTGGGAATATTATTGGATGGTTTTGATTATTCAGGAGGAGTTTCGACAGGGTTTTGGATTGAGAAAGTGAAATTGAATTTTTTGACGAGTGTATATTCGGTGTTGAAAGATGGTGGAAACATTTTTGAGAATATTTTTAGTGTAGTTTATTTGGGTAATTTAAACGAATTCTTTTGGACGATCTAGTTTTTTCTAATGTAATATAGCTAAGAATATTTTTTTTAAATTTAGTTTAATCAAACATGAAATTATAAAATTGTGCGAGATAAATACAGCAAAATTAAATTACACTTATCAATTGAATGGTGATTTAGAATTTTTTTTTTATAAAATGTCAATGGAACAATAGATATAATTATTGTGATTAAAGCAATAATTATCATGATTGTGTATAATTTTTGCAACTCGTGGAAAACACTTGAATTTGCATTTCAATGCAGAATGATTTATGTAATATGCATTTTGCAGTCGAGAAAAAATGTAAAATAATTTATGCTATTGAAGTGATTTTTGAGCATACGAGGCAATACTATATAATAAAAAATCAACGCTAATGTAGCAATAAAAATTCTTATCACAGATAAAATTAGCCTCTGTCTGATGGTTTTGAAAGAACTAAAAAACTTCGCGTGTAAGAAATTATCTGCTCCCGTTCTAAAGATATATTCATCAAAAAATTCCATCATTGAAGAAGGTAACAACCCTTCGAATAATTTATCTAAAATTATCCAATCATCCTATAATTCGTTTAATTCTCAGTCAAATTTAATTTTAATTTAAAATTTTTCTAAAATCGAATTCTTTCAATAATTCAAAATTAAAATTGAAAGTTTTTAGATATTTAAGAAAAAGAGAATATCTGTAAAATATCTTCAGGCCATTAGGTTATGTTAAGTTACTTTGAACATTATCATTAATCGTATAACTCTTTCTAATTTCTGAATAATGAAAAAAAGAAAAAAATTATCTGAAGTGAAAAAGAAAATTTCGAATCTCGTATCTAAAATTATTATTATTAAGTATATTTTAGAAATATTTATAATAATATAACATTATAATTATCTATGATACAATATCATTAAGGTAATATTATCATAAATTACGATAATGTATCACGACGATTGCAAAAGCATTCGAATCTTCTTTTTTCACGATCATATATCATTTTCGTACGATAATAACCCACAATAAAAAAAAAAAGAGAGTTTCACGTCATCACTCTAATCGATACGCGAATTCCTACCTATCTACGTAACGAAACGATAAATCGACACCATACGCGCCTCGGATATCATCGCGAAAATCCAAAGAATTCCTTTATAAATTGCTATCACGCGCAGATAAAGTGCACTATAACACGACACGTGGAGAAACTTGCTGACCACCGCACTAATTGAACATGATGACGAAGACTTGACCATGTCGAACATCGATACTTCACGATGATTTCAACGTGGAAAATCACGATAAATAACCAACAAACAATGGAAAACAAAGGCATCAGATTTGTGGCAAAATTTATCTCGTTTCCTTGTTTAGACAAAAGACGATATGTTGGACTTATTGTTACTACAAACGCAAATATACTTATATATTTTGTATAAAAATGGATCGAGTGAGTTTATAAACGTTGATATGCACGATTCGATTAACGAAAATATGGCACGTGAGAAAGATTATCGTGACAGAAAGATAAAACAAAAAAAAAAATAATAAATAAAATGACGTCATTGAGGAGTTTGTAAACGTTGATATGCACGATTTGATTCACGTAAAATGAGTCATGGTATATGCATATTAAATATATATATGTATGTATGCTGTTATTTTTATAAAAGTTTAGATGGAATACTATGATAAGTTATTTTTACTTCATTTACAATCATGAATTTAAATGACTGTTAAATTTTGAATTGCGAAAATTCAATTCGAGAAAAAGAGAAAACATAAATCTGATCATAAAAGAATACTAAACGCTATTACAATATTTGCGAATATATTCAGCGTAACGTAATAAAAGAAATGTTAGTCATCGTATTTTTTCTTGCGGTTTTCTTCTATAAATAGATGAATAATGTATTCCTATACCAGCTTAGAAACGAGATTCATGAACAGGTATGGAATTCGTTCAAAAAAGATAGCAAGGGCGCAGCCATGGAAATAGTAAAACTGATAGCCTGTACTGTTCTGCCTATCCCGTGTCTAATACCAGTAATACAATAAACATAGATGAAGTATCGATGTACGAGGTTCGCGAAACCCGTTACACGAGTTTATAAATAACCAACATTTTGCGTAACCAAACAGGAAAGTGATCAGAAATAAAGGAGACGAGAAGAAACCATGACCAAAATTCATCAAACGATCGGTTCATCTTCCGTCTCCATCATTTCGAGAGATGAACGATCATGATCTAAAATCGATCGTTTAACTTAAGAATGTAAAAAAAAAAAAAGAAAAAATCATCCCGGACGCGTTTCGATTACACTTACGCGAAGAGAAATCGATACGAGTGCTGACGACCCGTAAATTGACACCGTCCATAACCAACGTTCTCGTTATTGCAGTTTTATACCAATCGATTTAAAGAAAGAGAGAGAGAGAGAGAGAGAAGAAAAAAGAACGGAATTGCTGTGTAAAACAAAACATTATCGTTCCATTCCAAAAAACTGCACTCAAAGCAAAAAATCACAGAGAAATTTACGTAAATCGTAATCTCTGATTCTTGAACACGATGTTCTTCATTTTTTAAATTTACAACTAATTTTCTATTTAAAAAAAATACGAAGAAAGAATGATTCCATATTCTAATCATAATCCTGTAAATAAAAAGATCAAATATACAATATATCCTGCTAATAATAATAAAAAAATACCGATTTTCTATTTTTCATTTATCATCCTTCGAACTTCTATTAATTCAGACGGGGAAAAAAAAGAAGAAAAAATAACGAATACCGATGAAAGCTTAACGAATTCATATTTACACATCACGACGCTCGATCAAACATCGCCCTCGATTGAAATAAAAACGAAATAATATCTCTTGTACGGAAACGTCACCTTTTAAATAGCGAGCGGAAACCTCGGCCTCTGCTATCTGCCGGTCTGTTTTCACCCCCCGTACTAGCTTTCTATTCATAGAAACGTTGAACGATCTCTCGATGATAGCCGGACGATAATCGGAATTAGTGCGATCGTCGGAAAGAAACGAGGGTAGGAGGTCGATCGGAACGTCTCCCCCCACCGTCTATCTCCTCGAAAATACGATTTATCGTCTCGGTACGAAATAAAGCGCGATTAATTACGAACGATCTCAACCCCCGTATTGTCTTTACACTTACAGACTCGAGGAGGGGGGGCACGCGTACGCACGTCTACTCACGCGTTCCTCACTCTCGTCCACGTATAAACTTTCGTCCACCACCGTCCATCATCTGCGTGACCGTGTGAAAAAATTCGAAATACACACTGCCACCATTACACGTAAAAATTACGACGTAAATTACAACGTTCGACGATTCTCTCTCTCTTTTTCTCTTCCCCCTCTCTTTCCCCTTCCTCCTCATTCGAGACGAGGTTGTATATCCCCCCTTCCCTCTCTCTCTGGGGATAATTAAATTCAGCTTAAGAAGAAGAGAAGAAGAATGAGAAAAGAACGGTCGGTTTCCAACAACTCGATTCGATTCCTTCCTTCGTCCGAAGAAACGTGACAGGGATCGAACGATCTCGCTCCATCGACCCCTTCTCTCCATCTAACTGTGGATCACACACGAGGCCGTGTACCACCAGCAGCCGCCATGACCTCCCCCTTCCCTGTATAATCCCGCTCCGACTCTCCGCCACCTACTCCGTGGCTGATCGCTTTTCCCCTCTCTCGTGCGTCTCCTTATCGTTCCACTCCTCTAATCCGTGAAATCTGGAACAAGAACCGCGTGGCGAGGCGAGCCGGTACCAGTGGCACCGAGGAACTCGGTACCAACGGAGGTCTCATCTTCGGGAAACGAGAACCCGCGCGCTCCCGATCTCACCATAAAGTGCGCGTATATAAAACCGATCCTGACCACCTGGAACACCTAGTTTATCGTAACACGGTGTCGGGTACGCATCGTTCCCAATTCGTCGCTCGGACGATCCTTTCTGAATCTTCGAATCATTTTAAAAAAAAAAACAAAACTTATGGTTTCGATCGAATCATATCTCGTCGAAGAGTATAATATCACGGATAAAAATAGGTTGGCAAAGTTATTAAAAGATCGGAAGGTAATATCAAAAGTTCACGAGGAATATTGAATCGGGTGTGTGTGTGTATATATATATATACATACATATACATATATATATATATATACACATATACAATATATATATATATATATGGTTGGAGAAGTGGAAGGAACGACACGTGTCGCTGTGTTGCTATAGTGAATCGGTATCAGTCTGGTTCACGAAAACGTTCAGTGTACGTTACGCACGAAAATTGATCGTTATCGACGACACAATGCCACGAAGCGGTTTCAAAACGGCCATGTTCAGGCCGAGCAGGGCCAGGGCGATAGTCCTGGTCGGTTTGGTGTTGCTCACGCTTCTCGACGCCGTGAACGGCATACCGTACAAGAGATCGTTGCTCAGGCTGTGCTCGAAAAGTCTCAGCGACGCCCTGTACCTCGCGTGCAAGGGTCGTGGATACAACGAGCCGTTTTCGTACAGCGGCGAGGATGATCCTATGGATGTGGGGCCCGGCCTCGCGGAGGAGTGTTGCTACCATCAGTGCAGCTATGCTCAGCTTGAACAATACTGCAAACCGGATAACGCCAGCTCCGTGGACGCCGTGTGAGTGGATGTTAGTTTCTTCTGTTTTCTTTTAATATTTTTTTCCCACCCTTCAACGCTGCAACGACATTTGCTTCTCTTTTTACTGTCCATTTTTGTATTCGCTTTCTTTGCTTCCTCTGTTACATATATTATATGGGAATGATACTTTTTCTTGGAATTGATCTTGATCGTAAGGTTTGTTGTGGTTGAGCAATTTGGTAATTTCGGATGGATGAGGAGTTTTTAGTTTAAATAGGGAAATTTTAAATCGTTGAAAGTGAAAGTTGAAATGATAATGTTAGTAGGCTAGTATGATAATGGGTATGATAGATTGTATCTCGTAAGATTGT